GTTTTAGCAGACCTCAACTGTATTTAATTATGAAATCACGAACAAGAAAGGATGTGTATGTTGGGTCTCCATTCAACTTCTTGTTGCCTGCTCGGACGACTGCACCCCTAACTTGCAGTCCACAGTGTGCTTGCAGTCGGACAAGTTCGTTAATCCACCGAAAGGTCACGAAGATCGTTCGGTGCCGTATAGTCGGCATAACCGACGACAAGGTATGTAAGATAACGATGTCACCACAACACGAAAGGCCGTACCTAAGATTGCTGATAAACATGTTTTTTTTCAGTCTGTGTACGGCTCTGTGCTTCACACAATTTGTCCAAACAATTATTTCTCTTTTCCGGGAAACTTGTGGGTATTTCCGGCCAATGTGACCGGCACTTGGCACGAATCTTCTCCCAGTCAGCACTCCTTGAAGCCAAGAACAGACACTTCCTTCACGGTGGAGTGGTACAGCTGACCTTCAAGTTCCGCAGCTAGACCTGGAGTTGTTTTGTCTTCAGAAGCAAAGAAACGTTCCAAGTCGACCCAGAAGACGTGACCAAATGTGCCACGCCCCCCATTTGAGGGCCAAACCATTTACTTAGTATAAGTGAAGAATAACTTAACAATACACATTGGCTGCTTCTTTCACTGGGGTAGTTTTATATAGGGAAACATCCTTGGTTTTGTTGATATTACGGGTGAAATAGGTGAACTGTCAAAGATGATTTATTTGTTCATTTATTACAACATTATTTTATTTGTTTATATAATTTTTGTTTGTTATTTCATTTACATAATTATTATTTGGTAAATAAATAAATAAGTGACTAATCATCTGTTGGGATGACCGAGCTTCCCATACCACCTGCACACATACACACCTGAAAATAACGTTTTCTCTGTCATAATAACTCTTTTTTGGACACAATAGACAGGAAATCCTAGTATTCTGTATGTCCAAAGTTCTCGTCTTAAGTCCTCCTTTTTCTGTCACCTGACCTGACCTCTGGTTCTACGAACTCTGCTCCTGAACAGGATGCACCTGTTGACAGTCGGTGAAGAATGTGCGATGATGGACCTTCTTAAATCCGCGACTGTTGTGACGCGTGACCGTGCCACGGTCTGTCGATCTCAGAGAAGACGTGTGAGAATCTATATAGTGACAATACAAGACTCTTGTCAAATTCCCGCTGAAAGAGTTAGGCCAAATGGCCTGATGAGCTACGTTCAGCCATTTCGTATTGTATTTTTTTTAGGGGGGGGGGGGCTAGATTTCAAAGACTTGTCCGGAAAAGAAAGCTTGTACATCAAACTTGGAAGAGTATGGTAGGGACAATGTAGCATTGGATATCATATTTATGTAAGAGGCTCGAGTGTGTGAGTTTTATGTCAGAAGAGACATAACGTTATACCAAGGAGCTTCTATGGTGGTATACTCGTAAGCTCCGTGGTTATACTAAGTATCGGAAGAGTACTATAATTCCTGTCACCTGGCTGAAACCCATGTGCAGTATACTGTGCAGTTTTGTCATTCTAGTTTTCATGGTCATTACCCTTTTCAGAAACGAAACTGTAAAAAATAAATAATCTACACCCCGTTGTTGATTTGGACTGGAAGATCCCTCTGTGTCTGCCTGAATGGCATTGTGATGACGTCACACAGGTGAGGTCAGTCACTGGGCCGTGTATCCTGGCACAGCACGGCATTCCTGGCGTACCGGCGGGCTTTAGATAATCTACTCTTCTCAAACGGGCCGGCAGCCTATTACACCTGTCCTAGGAGCCTCAGGCGCGTGTGTGCAACGATTGCAGAGTACACAAGTAAAAATACATTTTGGAATGTTCAGAAAATGTCAGGAATGTGGGGAAATGAGTGACAGTTTGAACAGACAGAGGAAATGGGAGTGGGTAGTCTGTTGTTAAACATGTAACTGTTCGTTAGAGTATACGGTAACGGTTGTTTTTGTCATATCGGATATAGATATATCGGTATATCGGATATAGATCCGCGGTGTTGTGTTTGTACTTAGTGTTTTCTTCCGGTGATTCACAGCAGTACAGAGTGAGTAACACGAAGTAGGTTAGAATTATCGATACTAACCCCTTCCCTCCTTCCTATGGGGACCAATCAGATAGCAAGACTTCCCGTTTTTAATTGGGGTCTAACTAAATCAAAAACTAGAAAGGAGTAACAGGAGGAACACTAACTTCCGACGCCTTACACAAACCTTTTACACACACACATGTTGTCAATCAAATCCCCACCCCCTGTAGACCCTGACCTATCGTCCCATTGAACTTGTGGCCAGCCTGACGCAGTCTTGCATCCTTATGTTCGTCATTTGGCATTGAGGGCCGGAGCTGGACTCCAACTCAACGTCATATGCAAAATCATATCCAGTTGCTTCAGTAACTGCGTCATAGAGTCATATGGTCTCACAGAAACTTTCCGAAACTACAACTTGTACAAGTGCAGCATTACTTGTATTGCTGTCAACAGACAAGCTGGGGATATGGGAGGGAGGGTGGTGGATTTGCAACATTTGGCCCTCCGTACTACGCGGGTTCATTGAACCTGCACAAGCCGTGAGGGCAAATCCACCAGCCTCACGCCCTGAAGTCCTGTCAATCAATGTCTGTCCCCAGCTGACCCCATTGGGAAGTCCGACTCATGCCCGATGTATTTCCTGAGCAGCAGGTGCCTATAATACCTCACAAAACAGAGATTCTTTCCTTAGCAACTCATTTCCACGTTCCAAAACCAGTGTAAATCAAAATTGAGATCTATAAAACTACATAATTCGTCCGTCACTAACTTGTACTGACTCACATCCGTGCCTCCCAACAAAGTCACTTTGTAGAAATCAATGTTGTTATCGTGTCGCACAGCCACTGGGCGTTTCTAACGGTACAAAGTCTACAGACTCACTTCCGTGTTGGTCAGACCCCTCGAGATCACGATTCGAAATCCAACCACAGTGAATTTGGACCTTAAGTTAGTAATAACATGGGAAGTTTAGTCACGACTCTTCAAAAGACAGTGGAAGGAAGCGGAGTTCTTTCTTTTAAGGTTTGGGGACCTGCCAGATCTACTCAGACTAAAAGTCTTCCCGCAGATGTGGAGATAGATTCTCTTAGTTCGTCATTAGCTGCAAATTTTGTCTTTTCTTTCAGTTCCAGGCCTGTCAAATGATGAATCTTTGGGAGCTGCAAGCTTTATTCCTTTAGCGGACCAACTCCCCTGGCATGCTATCTGTCTATTTCAATACTTGGCCAATTTCTACTCTTTCATCCGCTTCCAATGCTTGGTAGTGGCTACTAGCCTGGTCAGAACTCTTTGGCTGTGCCAATGAATTTTTAGAAAAATCGACCTAATTACCCTTACCGTAACTTGAAAATTCTCCAATATTTGTAAAAAGTCAGAATCTGCATTCAAATCAGTGCTTGCTTCGAAATTCTGCTACATTGTTTTCCCGTGATAATCCGTGCTTGTTGTCGTTTTGGATGACCTGTTTACACAAAGGTCACAAAGTTTACTGTATGAATGTATTTTATGTCTATCATAAGTAAAAATGCTCATACTGGTACCAAATTTTAATAGAAGACACTTTCAGTAGTTCACTCCATACTTTGTATAGATCTATACTCTGATAATTCAAATTACCTGTAATGATATCTCAACAGCAAAACTCAATCCACTACCAGGGAGACTTAGTCCATTTTCTAACTTTCTTTGTGCAGTTTCTTGGAAATCCCTTTGCTCATTTAAATTAGAAAGATAAAATTTCAAAGTCTGAAACCCAGAGAAAAACAAAGCTACGAGTACAGAGCGTGTTTTGTTTCCAGTGGGACTGAAGGGTTGACCATTTCCGCCGGTGGTCAGCCAGTTCCGCCATGACCACTACATCTACACCTTCTTGACGCCTTCTTGTGGAAATTAATCTTCTTATCCCGGCTCTCCGCTCCCTGGAAGAAACTCAAAACAGGAAGGTGACTGGGTCTTTAGCCGTCTGCGAAGTACATGTTATTACAACACGTACTATTTACCCAGTCGGTCATTCTGTCTAGGTGTAGGCAGCGTTGAATGTGTAAGTTCCTTTTTATGCAAGTTTATCTAAATGACTTGCCTTTGAACAATCACCATTTCCGACGTCCCAGCACACTTCCTCTTTACCAGGGGGCAACGACCTCTATAGACTGTAACTTCAGCAAGAAAACAACGCGTACGTTTGTTTGTGTTTTGTCTTTAGGAAGTGTTCCCGTTTTCCTCTCACACATCCCCTCGACAAAACAGGGTAATAAGACTTCAGCACTACATAGTGGGGCGTTTACATTTTAGTTGATGTTCTTTTGACTGGCGGACTTACATTTCCAATGAAGGGATGGATGATTGACAATATGTAAACTTGGCCATCATACGATGACATTAGCCATTGAGCTGTTGCATGGATTACACGTAAAGTTTGGTGACAATAGGTAAAATGATCAATAAAAGTCAATAATGACAATGCCAGTCACAAAACAGCTGAATTCACCATGAGTTGCAAAAGTTCCCAACCTAACGTTACCAACAGCGACTATTGAATTTGTAGCATTTGTCGCACGATAGGTTTACGCAAACACATCATATTACATTCGACATAATGTCCTTGGTTTACAATAGCTTATTTAGATCGAGGGTATTCCTTAGATAGTCGGGGATGTGTTGTGTTGAAAATCCAGCTGTCTTGTGACAGAAATTGTTGCCGTAGATCATTGTCGATTGGTGGTTCTGTCATAGACTTGCTGAAAGTCTTACGATAAAGGAAAGAGTTGGAAAAAAGAGGGCAGAAGGTGTTGTAAAAACAGAACAAAATCTCCCACACTCTGTAACAATGAACAGGTGCGTAAGCGGCACTAGCGAATAACAGGTGGGCTTTCACACGGTGGTTTCTAGGGGAAAACCCTGGTGGGTACTGCCGCCTTCCGCAACTGATATGTGATAGGTTTCGCTCGTAGTTTTTGTCGTAGGTTTTCAGTGAGGCTAGGAGTCAGAACCGACAATCGGCAAGGGTGATACGACATACTTTTGTGTCACAAAATAGCTGAATTTTGTACGACACATTCACGACTGCCCCACCACTCTGTCCCCTCAGTTATATATACTCGTATAGTCTATGTCGTATTGGGCCTGTACACCAAAACATCGCGAACAAACTTACATTGAAATGTCTCAACTTACTGACCCTTGATATCTAGATCTTACGTTAGCGTTAATTTTTGACGAGGTTTATTTGCCGAGGCTCTTGGTGCGTACCTGGCGCCATCCGATGTTGCCGGGTTACCTGGACTGGAGCGTGGGAGGGGGGCGTGTACCTGTGACGACTGACCGATGATACTATGGGAACTGTGTAGTTAGTGTTGGCCGATCGCGATGTCTGGGAGTGGGAAGATGTATCTTAAGGGTCAAGAAAGTTGTTGTGTTGAGAAATTTCACTCCAACTCATCTTGTGAATAGTATGTAAACGTTGTATCATACTTTGTGGTTGGAACTATGGTACCTCGTTACTTACGTTGTACTTCAGCACAATATAAAAGTATCCAATGATCAGAATTCAGAAACTGAGTCAGAGACAACGTTTTTATTTGCACCCCTTAAGAAGTTGTGTATACCATGTTGCGTAACCCAATTGCCGTGTACAAAGCGTTATATGCAAACTTACAAGCTAAACCCGGTCTTCAAATTGTGATTGTCGTGTCGTATGAGTCCAGAGTCCAGAGGTCTGTTTTGTGTGCCACGTCGACGCAAACATTTTCGGACGCTGTGTCCACAGGCTGATGTGGCGACCAACGCGAGAGCACACAAACTACAGCATTAAACCTGATAAATAGTTTCCTAACAAGATTTACCGTGTAAGCAGAGGTGTGACTCCCCCTCTTATCCCACCCTGTTCTGTCCCTTTGATGTCGCCGCCTGCAGACAGGGCGGGTGTAGGTGCACGTGTCACAGGGGTCAGGGAACAACAATACCTAACTTGACCTTGCGCCCTTGTTCATCTCCCGCCAAAAATCTTAGGTCACGTGAGGGGCAAGGCGGTGGGCGTCGGTCCAGTCCCGCTTCTCCATTGGTCCATCTGAACAATAGAGGAAGCCATTCATCACCTGTAGTAAAGATTTGGACGCCAATTACTAGTACGCAGTTTATACGGACGTGTATGTACATGATGTTTTTCTCCGAGGGGGCAAACCGCAAAAGGGAGTGGTTCATGCCGTGCCTATAGAACACTGTGGCAACGGAGATATTATGTGAGTAGGCAGGCCTGGTGAACAGGTGCACTGGCGTCAAAAACAACCATCAGGCATTGGCTTGTCACTAATGTTTTTCTTTTTATAGATGTTTATCCTTCTTTAGTCAGTAGAAGCTAGACATTACACATGAACACAAGTAACGCGAAAAAAATCTGTCGCATGCATCGGAAAGTTTATTTTATTTTCCTGTACAGGTGATACATGTATCACATTTATAATCCATGTTATGTTGCGTATCTACACAATCAGAACAGGAATTGTAACATAATGACAAATAGAAAAAAAACTTGCCCTTTTCCATAGTCTAAGTAAGTTACAAAGTTTAACAAACAATATCACCGTGAGTTCAGAAGTCGAAACAGACTCCCAAAAAGTTGGTTGGAAGACTCCCTAAAATACAGGACGAAGAAACCACGACCTACTCATTATATAATGTTATATAACTTGGTTAATCAATATCGACACCCCCTTATGTTGACTGAGCGATTGAAAACTTCCCGTATAACTAACGTTATGGTGTTTGCCTTACCTCTTCAAGAGGTGCCAACATACAGGGAGTTGTTGTACGTTAGTTTACTTTCGCGGGGCGGTTTCGTACAGCTTCCTGACTCTCCCCGGCTTGACAACAATAGAGGGTGAAAAATAATGAGTTGTGATGTTTGTAGTGTCTCGTACTCTAGGTGAGTGAAATGTGGACGATGAGGGTGTGCCTGTGACCTCAAAACGTACAGACCCCTCTACGTCACCAAGGACACTAACGGGCAATGACCTTAGCAGATGGGAAATGGTCACCCCAAAAATGGCGGGGTATTGATTACAAAACATTTCACATATCAATTCAAAAGCGACAAAGGATTACTAGTATCTAAACATGAAAACACGACCAATCAGTATGCTAAAGCAGTGTAACAAAAACGACACATTTGTTTGCTTCTTACTTACTAATTATTTATGTAACGTTAGTATGAGGTGATTTTGACACCATGTTTCATTGTTTGGCAGTTCTACGAAAAATGTTGACAGTTGTACCACAAACTGTCAAACACCAAACAGTCAATATTTTTACACGAGCGCTTCTTTTCTCTCCAGCTGCCTACATATTTAGGATACTTTTCACCGTCTTGGTGTTGTTGTGTTTGACCAACAAACAAAGGGTGTGTAGGCGAACTGTTGTGAATCCGCGTTCCTTTGGTCTATCGCCCCCCCATCGCAACTTCGTGTCACCTTGTGTTTTCTTTTCAAAATAAACAATTCCATAGAAAGCATCTTCAATGTTTCTTTGTAGTTGAGTGTACACGACAGAAGGTAAAGCGTTATATTCAAATGTCCTTTCAACTGAGACGGCGACCAAGTAGCGACGGTTGGGCGACCAAAAATCTCATTAGCAAACTCATTTCATTGATAAAGAAGCGTATTTTGTAAGTTTATTGGCTATCAAATCATACTTTGATATTCTGGATCATATTCATTTTTTTCTGAATAGATAATACAAAAAAGGAGCTTCAAATTGATTTGATATACAAATCCAATTTTGGCCGCAATGGTCACTCAACATTTTCCATCCAGTGGAATCCGAAAGTTCATAACGTACCTTGGACAAAGAAGTTCGAAAAGTAAACGGAAATGGCTTATTAGCATCGCTAACTTATCTTCATCTCGCCACTTACTTTTGTTCAGCTGTAACGTACTCCAAACGTGTCCTTGCTGGTCACAAACACTGAAGTCTTTACTTTGAGCTGGTCACACACGGAGAAGAATAAAGTTTGTATTGGTTTAAGTACACTAGAGAGATGCCGACAGGATAACGACGTTTAATGTGCTTATCATGTCGTTTTGTCTGGTGGGGAACAAATGGACACCGGACGCCGTGGACAAAGGAAAAGCAAAGTAGGTTACATCGTGAATGAAATGTAGGAAGCAAAGTAGGAGGGATTACTAGTATTGTTTGTATCTGTGTACGTATGTATACATGTGGACGGGGGCGTGTGTGTAAAACTTTTTCATATACATGTACATTGTACTGCATTTTATGGCGTGGATGGTAGTTAAACTGTGGTGGAGACACATTTTGCCTTTTTCGCTTCTGTATACTAGTAATGTTACATATATTAGTATTTTGTGGTGTCTCTCTCTCTCTCTGTGTATGTATGTCTGGTTGACCCTCGTTTGTATGTGTGTATGAGGGTGTATGCCTTTTCTCTTATTGAGGGTAACCAATGTAAAACTCTTTTTCTCTCTGAGCTTATTGAGGTAAAGCGTTGGATTTTCCATTACAAATTTCTCAACCTCATTAGTAATACCGTATAAGATAACCAAAAGAAAGTGTCTCAAACATGAAGAAGCGAAACAATGTCCAGTCAAGCATCTGTGGTTTCGTATGTGCATTGAGGAAACAAAAGAAGTAGGAAGAAAAAGACTTCTTCTTGTGTACAGTCCGCGCATGGGACAGCTCTGACAGGTGTTTCCGTCAGGTTTACCGTCTGCGTATCGTCTGCGCAAATCCACCTGTCTCCCGATTAACTCTCCTATCTGCGGCTCTATATAATCTCTAGGACGATCTTAGGAGGAAAGATTTGGGCCATCTTTATGCTCGCTTTGATGTGACAGGTCGCTGTCAGAAAAATAGGGCAATTTTAAATGTAGTGAACTCCTGGCCTCCATAGCACCAATTAGCTCAAGAAAATCTTGGAATGAAAGATTGCTAGTCTCCAGAGAAGACTCTTCTGTATAGTAATCTTTCCTCCCAAAATTTGCTTGGCGATAATCTGTGCGCAAACAAACGCATAGACTGACGGGGATTAGTTGCGTCTCAGTGAGATCAGTCTGAGAGTGACTGCAAACGATAGTTTCAAAAGAACTGGCGCGCCGCGTAGAGAGTGCATGTGGAACATTGCATCTGAAGTAAAGAATGACAGGTAGTGTGCAAATAAGACGAGGTATCTAGTGCTTGGTTATGGGTAGAAGATTTCTCTAATGACTGTATAATTGACATCTTCCCACAGACATGACAGATGCATTAATCAATGGTATCACTGGCATTCAAACAGTTCTCTGATAGGCAGCCACACATATCTCTTGTGATGCAAAAACTCCGCCAGTCAAGCCATTGTTGTGATTTCAATCATTGTATTCTGAATACTGATGATTGTTAGGTTGACTCATTGTACCCTGAGTGACTGCCAATTGTTCTTCCCGAGAGACCTGATTAGTGTCAAGGGCCTCCTTGTGAGGGGCAATTTTTGACTGAGAACAAAAACTGGAGAGGTAGCGATCGGGAGCAAGGACAATACAGATCGCGCTAGCTCACTGTAATCCTTTTGAATATTATAGCTACGTTCGTCGGGACAGTTGTGACACGTTTTATCCGGAGGGAAGGCGGTAACATGAAAGTTTTCACTGCTTCTTTTGTCCAAAACCTGGTGTCACCTGTTGGCCTCGTTATCTGGCTGTCTGGGTTCTTCACAGCGTTAATATAGTTATGAACTTTTTGTGACTACCGGCGCGCTGCTGCTCTTTTGATGTCTTGCCGCACCTTGCTCAGATTTCCGGCCGATATGATATGAATACACAAACCTGCCCTTCGAAAAATTCCTCAACTCAACATTGCTCACATATGTACACAGTACTAGTAGTAGCACTTCCGTTTTTTTCAGCATGTGTGGCCTGATTGATTTGTTGTATAGGAAGGGGTACTAGTACTCAACGCTAGTAGTAGTTTATATCTAACCAAGGAGGTTCAATCACACCTCCTTGATCTAACCGGTTGATGCCGGTTGTGAGTAGGTCACTCCCGCTGAGGAAGTTGTCTCAGGGGAGTCCGACACGTTTGATTGACAGCGCCGGTTGACCATACCAGTACAGTAGTACACAAGGGTTGGGCTGTCATGACTGAAATATTACTTTTTTTCTTGTAGCGAACCGCCCCACAGCTCTTGAAAGGTCAAGCAGGTCGGGTTTGGGGTCGTCCTGGCAACGCTAGACGTAGCAGTAGATGACTTTTTTCCTGAATGGGTCACATTGTTGTTGGTTCGGACGAGTTGCGAGGGTACAGCCTGAGTCAACATGTCAGTCGTCCCAGTCTGAACAAGGCAAGCGAGTAGTTGTCAGAAAAAAAGTGAGAGAAGAGTGGGTAATTATGCGACAGCTGTGCCGGGTGTCAGTCACAATTTTAACGTCCATGCAAGATGTCGCGGCAACTGCACGGGCCAGGATTCGTCTGCACCCGCGGGCGTCCATGCGCAAAAGTATGCATCATTTTACACCTGCCTGCCTTCTGTAAAAGGATGCCCCGGGTATAATTTGACAAGATCCGGAATCAGACATGTGTAATAAATGCTGACTTCACGCGTTAGCTGACAAGAAGGACAATGGGGTCACTGGCAAGACAGTTTGCTCGAAAATTCTAGAAAACACTGTCGTTTTATCACTGACTTCCAGCAGAAATCATAATTGTAACAAATTAGTGACAGATTTATTAATCTGGTCAATGACACCCCTATTATGTCCATGATTTGGTAAATACCACTTCACAAGCTCACAGGAAGACACCAGTTGAGTTCATTTCGGGTCAATTTACTCGCTAAATTCAGTCTTTAGGCAGCCGCCGTTCACAAACGTAAAAGAATGCGATACAATCTGCTTAATTCGTCTGCCCATTTTAGTCTACGTTCTTCGTGGCGATGATATGAAACAACTTTGCTCCCAGGATCACTTGAAAGTTGGACGAACCGGCCGTGCTATGCGGGTGGCACGCGTTTGAAATTTTTTACCAGCTGATTATTAGCGCCGGGGGTGTTACCCCAGCCCACGTGCGATTGGTCAGCAGGTGCAACAGCAGCCTTGCCCCGCCCACAATTTTTTCGCGCCTGAATATCTAATTAGCCGGAGTGGGCACTATGAATAACTTTCCGCGTCCACAAACAGAATATAGTGCTTACATAAATGTAGCTTTTTCTTCTTAGTAAGCGGATGATTCTAGTAACTAGCTCAATTTTGAATGAAAGTAAGCTGTATTAATGCTGTTTGGTATGTTAGGTTTTAGAAACATATTTTCAAGACCAAGTTACAATCACTATAGTGATCTGGTGACCCTGCGGAAGGATCTGTATTTGGAAAGTTGTATGTCATCCGGCCGTAGCTCATTTCAAGGGCTTTCCGCTGCAATCATTGCCCAGTCAACGCTGTGGAACATAGAGTGGAGGAGTGCCTGTGTCTCTCCCAGTCCTTGTTACAACGGAAATTTCTTGGATTTCCCTTACTTGAGTGCGAGTTCTTTGACAGAGCTTGGTCTACTGTACCCGGGAACCTCGCGGCGCCCTGCCACCGTAAGTAATTCGTAGTTTACGAGCGGGGGGCCCCATGCAGGATTTTAAATGTCTGGGCTATGTTGCAACATCGCCCCGTAAAACGTAGTAGCGCCGCAATCTCGTTTAAATGTTGCATAACATGTTACGAAAATGCATCTGTGTCAGTCGTGTAACAATATTTGTTGCTGTTCTGTCAGGTTTTCCAGAGTGCTGAATGGGAGAGTTACTACTCAAGGATTTCCTGCTGAAAGACGGACTATATTTGAAAAGGTAAGCGGGGTTTTGTTAGGACTTCCTCGGTCGGGGTGTGGGGATAGTACAGCCGGCGAATGAATCATGTTCTTCGCGCTGTTGTACCGGCATTCTGCCGACACTTCAACAAAGTCACTTCTTACAGAAGCTAGTTGTGTCAGGACTGTGCTTGAGGTTTTCGACTGTGTGTCTTATTAACTGCCACATCCAGTCATGACGATTAAAGGCATTAAATGTAGTCTCCTTTCCCATTCCAGCTCCATGCCGGGAATTAATGCACATCACGCGGTTTCCGTACCGAGTTCCAAGCACTACGACTTCGAGTCTTTGCAGCCCTACTTCTACGAGGAGACAGACGACCCTGCCCGAGAGGATGACTTCTACTCCACGCCGAGCCCGTCCGTACCTCCCTCCGAGGACATCTGGAAGAAGTTCGAGTTGTTGCCGACACCGCCTCGGTCGCCCTCGCACCCTGCCCCGAAGTCGTTCATTCCCACGGTCGCTGAGAAGCTCGAGATGGTCTCGGAGCTACTCGACGAAGACGTGGTCAACCAGAGCTTTATTTTCCCACTGGACACACAGTCCTTGAAGTCAAAGCTTATCCAGGACTGCATGTGGAGTGGGTACACCAACGAAGAGAAGGTTGAGAAGGCAGCCCAGGCACAAGAGGCGACCCCGCCGCCCATGGACTACACCAGTAACGACTGCGTGGACCCCATGGCCGTCTTCCCCTACCCGCTCAGCGAGACAACACCGAAGGAGAACCCTCAACGCCTCGGCACACAAACCCCGTCCGACTCAGGTAGACATCGAATTTATTACTTGAACCCATTCTGTGTTGTACAAAATCTCGAGTGTACATGGTTCACAGTGAAATCTGTAGGTATGAAACCACGGTGAAATGTCGCACATTTTGTGTAACAGCTTGTTGATCCTCTGGCTACATTATAACACTGGCCTAATTCCCGTCTCCAAATTGTTGGGAACAATTTCTGTCGGTGGTATGTTGAAATCAACCCAATTGAATGATTTTTACAGTAGTGAAACCCAGGCATACTTCACGCATGGACCCTCTTCCGGGTGGCTTCTTCATACAAAGGGAGATTTCTTGGGGTTGTGCCAAAATTTTGTAACGCCGGCTATGTTGTACTCAGTGCTTGTTTCCCTTCAAAATCGTATTCCTACACCTGCTGCAAATCTGTTATTCTTTCGATCAACACGCGTTAATTGTTTGATTAATCTAAGCATAATTTTATTATCTCAGGCTTTCCATATTTTATCGTAGCCCCGAAAATCCCTGCCAGACAGAGGGTAAATCCTGGGCGCCCAGCCGAGACAATTACCCCCGCTGGCCCCTTCTCGCATTCCCTTTGTCCCTTTCGCGAAATCCCGAAAGACTCGGATTGTGACAGTGACCAGGCTTTTTCCTACCAATAATTCAGTCGGTTGGCAAAGTAGAAGTATTGCTCGGAATTTTCCAAATTTGATAATTTTCCCCGAATAAGATTTACATATATTTGGTTATGCCGGTAATGGGGCCCATTGAAGGGAATTGCTTCATGTAGCTGAAGTGATGCGCAGTGTCCGGCGCTGAACAAAGACTAGCCAAGTAACTTCAGGGAGAATCGAAAGTGTAATTTTAGAACTTCTTGTAATTGCTGCTTTCCTGTTCCTCGATACTTCGCAGTTGCGGTTCTTGCTTTCAGTTAGTTCCTCATTTCCGTGTTTCTTTGGCCGAGCCGCCCTAGCACACACACGGCGAGTTTTCCTGCTTCCAATTTTCCAGTCGTAGTAGTCCCAAATTTGGTGGTACAAAAGAAACGCCAGTTTCAAAAGCATCGGTAGGGGGCAAATGACGCCACAGGTTCAAGTAATAAAGGGGGAAAAGGGTTATTTAATACTGTAAAATGTTTTAAATTAGAAGGTCACAGACTTGATTTGAATTGCCTTTTGTTCACGTCAGAATTTGACGTGATTGGTGAATACATACATATAATATGAGCTGAGCATGTCCATTGTTGGCCGTGATAGAACTATCACTTTTCCCACTATTCATCCCAGTTCACAACTGTTTGCGTTTAGCGCTTGTTGCTAACAAACTGCCGTCGCATTCTTTTGTGTGCCTATCTCCCATATATTGTGAATGGTCTGTTTGGCGTCGCCTGGGTGAGAACTCATCCCCCACGCTGATCTTGTAGGGAAGGAATTTTTATACGATTTTTATTTCTCCTCCCCATGTGAAACGCCGGTCAACCTTGTGGGAAGCCAGTTAACCGTCAACGTTATTACCACCAACGTAATTTAATCGAATTTGTTGGAAAAGATTATCATCTACAGTTGGGGCATACTAGTAGACATGGACCTTCAAGCAGGTCTTGGGTGGAGGGAAGTATTTTGACTCTTGCTGTGTTGTACCATCCCAATATTGTGCTCAGGACAACTTCACAGGTTTAGAAATGAACCCCCCAGATGAGATAAAAAGTAGGTGTGGGAAAACACATGATTAATTAGCTGTGACCCACTTCTATGGGAATGTGGCAAATGGGATCATGTGTGACCTGTATAATAGGATACACACACCAGTGTTTCATTTAGTAATGTCAGCCTCTTATTATGTTTTACAGAGGAAGAAATCGATGTGGTGACAGTGGAAAAGATGCACCCAAAGAGGAGGATAAGCAGTGCCGTTGTCCACCACAACTACTGTGCCACCCTGCCGGTCAAGCGGTCAAGATCGTCCACACCAAGCAGCAGTCCTCAGCACAGCCCATCCCTCGTAAAGCGACTCAAGTCGGTGAACGTCAGCGAGTTGAAGGCCGCGATTCAGCCATACGTCAGAAAAAGCACCTCCAATCCTGGCAGTAGAGCCAACAGTCGGCCGTGTAGTCGTCCTAGCAGTGCTCCGACCAGTGATTCTGAGGACAGTGAGTCAAAGCGCTCGACGCACAACATTCTGGAAAGGAAGCGACGCAACGACCTGAAGGCGAGTTTCGTCACACTGCGGGATAGCGTGCCAGAATTGAAGGACAATGAACGTGCACCAAAGGTCAACATCTTGAGAAAGGCCACGGACTATATCCAGTCACTAGACAAGGAGATGAAGAAGCTAAATCGGGAAAAAGATGCTGAACAAAAGAGGCAGCAGCACCTGTTACAACGACTTCAGGCTCTGCAGAAACTCTGCAGACAATGAGACTGAAAGTTGAAAAGACATTTGAAAAAGATTTATGTAACAGCTTCACACCGTTCTAAAGGTGTAAAGTTGGAACTGAACGACAGAACTTTTGCTTCAGATTATTCCAGTTACTTTTGTTGTCAGAAGAGAAAAAGGGATAAAAACAGTTATGGTTTGCAGGAATGATAAACTGCATATTTGTGCACAAAGTGAAACTGGTGACCCAGTGAAAAAGTCGTTTGTAAATAATATTTTGGTTGTTGTCCTTGTGTTAGCTGTACAGCTAGTGGTCAGGAGGGCCACCTTAAAGTTCCTTGTACATTTTGTAACTTGATATTAAGGTTTATATAGTTTACTTTAATACTTGCATAAAGACTAAATATTATATATTTTCAGTTCTATTCTTGACAGTTGAAGAAAAGCAGCCATTTTGATATGTTGTTGATACCAATCATGCTACCATTGACAAGTAAAGCTTGCACATGATTTTGTACTCTTGGTATTTCAGAGATGAATTTTTGTACAATAAACAACAAAAACGTTAACTACACCTTGTGACACATGTTTTCTGTAGTCTTATTTGAAACAGGCCCTAGGATGGACTCATTAAGATAGGCTGTTCTGAATCATAAGTTTTCTTGAGTGGAATGCAGGAAGTGGTTTTGTTGTTCCCTATGGGCTTTGTGCAGATGTAAGGTCATTCATTCAGGGGGTCTTTGGTTACACCTCATTTGCATAAAGCCCGCGAAACTAGTGAATAGTTGCCCCGCCCACATTGTCTAATGGTATGTGGGTCAAAGCAGAAAACACCTCTAGCGCTGGTCAACAAAATTTATTGTAGTGTCCACCTGGTGCATTTTGATTGGGGAAAATATACAACGTTAAAACGTAAATTTATTTTTGGGAGTGGTCAGACTTAACCTCCGGTAACGCAGACAGATTTGACAGAGGTTTTACTTATTTTAACGAAACTCCAATATTCTTTAGGTATATTCATTAATAGTTGCGCAAGCTGTTAGTAAGGGAAAGTAGAACAGGTTCTCGCCAAATGTACAGGACGCGTTGCGTTACCACCCCCTGCCGAAGGCCTCTTTCCCGCCGTTCACACCCCAGCCGCCGTGCCCATATATGGAAGAAAGCCCGCGAAAATCCAGCATGGGTGATTTCGCAATCAGTTTACCCCTGAGAACGCTAGGTACGGGCTCTGTTTGTGAATGAGCCGCCTGTATGAATAGACCGGGTTACTGTGGAGTGTGCTAAGGACCGAAGGTGTGTACGTACCGAACAAAGGTCGAAATCCCAACGGGATTTTACTGGTTTTTACCGACGGCAAACAGGGGCTGGTGATAGTGAGGAGATAGTATCGATCAATGTCCGGGGTTGGAGCAGTTGGATAAACATGTGTGCCGACACGTGTTCGTGTTGCACGTTGGCAGGATAGAATTAGAATGGCAACGCATAGTGCTACTACTGCTAGCCACATTCATAACGCCAGTTTTATGATGCATCGTTGTGTCAAAGACGATGTAATGTCACATTTGTTTATGCAACAATGCTTCACCGACCATAGGTATGTTATTAATATTAGTGTTCCTTGACAGTAGAAAGGTATGTTTTACAATTGATTACTGTGCTGTATGCCATATCAGAGAAACCCTACATCAAAGATAGGTCAGAAAAAAGAACCTACTTTTTGACCAAGTTGAGGATTATGCTCTTTTATTCCAACGTTGGTGTCAGGTGTTATTTTGGTAAATCTACCGTTCTTCATCCCAATATCTGTTTGAAGATTAGTGCCCAGGTCATGTCCACAAAGACGATACTAGTAAATTTGTTCTGTCAGGAAAGATACGGGTTGCATGATTCTATATGCTCACGTAACAGACAACTGACATGTGGGTAATCTATACACCATATAATTGTCAAAGTCATGTGGGTTGCCCATATTGCTGACTGACAATTTCCTGTGCTCTATTATTAAATAGTTGGTCGAACGTGTGCGTTTTTTCTGTATTACACGAATGATAAATACACGTTATGCATGTAATAGCAGTTTACATTGACACGGATCCCATAGAAGAAATTCGTTAGCATGGTACTAAATGAGGTTTAAAATATTTCAAAGCGCCTTGGTGGTACATGTACTTACAGTCTAGTAGATTGATTTGTTCCGCGCTTACAAAAATATCTGGCCATAAATTCATGTCTGACAGCAGCTAGAACATTGTGCAGAGGGATTCCCACAAGCTATACCGGCATTTTACTATAGCCTCGGCTAGGCTTCAGTCAGAGACGGTTGGAAAGAGTAAAGATTGGCCAAAATAAAATATGCCGAGGGAGTCGGTCCGTTATAAGAGTTCAGTTTGCCGCTTTGAACTTGGGACATCGCCATGACTGAGTTCGCTATAGTCGACTTGTCCACAATTCTGCCTGCCTAACTCTTCTGGGAAATCATATCACCGATACGCGATCTGAACAATTTATAAGCAGGCAAAGGTTTTAGGCAAGGTAAGATGCTAAGCAAAAGATAATTTCTGTTGAAGAGCGGCCCAAACTGTAATTCTACAGTTCCTACCTGGCCGGAATCTAAAAATCCCCCATATCGTAGAAGTCTTCCATGTCTGGCGCCTATCACAAGCCAAAGGTAAAAGGGCACTCGGCTATCACTGTTCCAATATCACAAGGGTCGGGAGCGGCACAGTGTACATATTGATTGCGCAAGACCTGTTGTTACGCAATCTGTCGGAGGTGGCAAAACCTTAATGACCTTAACCTCCAAGCAGATCTTTCGGTGGCAAGACAGTATCCATTGGCCACAGGAGTGTCCATTAGCCACCGAAGGTTGGCTAATGGATACAGGACGGCCAATGGATACAGGATGGCCAATGGATACTGTCTTTTGCCACCCAACCGAAAGATCTGCTTGGAGATTAGCAAAACCTTTGCCTCCTGGCACCACCAGGGCCTACTGGGACTGGACATCGTATGATGCAACACGTCAGGTGGGCGTGGCTCCAATTTAAAGGTACCGTCTTGTCAACGGTCGCCAAGCGAAGGGGGTGTGTCCATGTTTGTTTGTCTTTCTGGTAACACTTTGTCCGGAGTCGATTGCTTGAACAGGGCACTTTCAGGACCCTTCTTTCAGTTGTCAGTAAGCAATAGACGTGTACAGAAAAATGGCGCATTCTCTCGCTCACTCACTTGGAACACCTCCATGAACAGCATCCATAATCTCGCCTATCCTCTTATCTGTATTGCTGCTGACCCGCCACTATTGTGATTTTGCAAGCACTATTCTTCAAGAATTACCTATTGTGTCCATGATTTGGGGGGGAATTTTAATTGAGGGCAAAGCCAATAAATCCCTGAATGTGAAAACATTTGTCGTAATCTGAAGCGGAGTTCAAAAGACACAGTTTCACGGTTTGTAAAAATTTACAGGCTGTTCTCAGAAGTATAATGTGTTCGCAGACTGTCCCGGGAGGGACGGGGCAGGGCGGACAGCCAGCAGGGGCCCGGACATTCGGGATGACACGGCCGACAATGGAGAGATGGGATCGCTGCGGGAGGGCGAGTACCGTGGGATCACCCTGGTCGACAGCACATCAATTCAGCATCTTGGGAAAATTCTAGCAGGCTCCTCCGTTTGAACATATTTAGACAAACGTTTTATCATTAAAAGGAGATGGGCGTGTCATTTTATTACAGGAGTTAACCTCTTATAAGTTATACTAAGGGGATAATAGATATTTGTATCAAAGTTAAAAGCACTTGCATACAATAACACTACAAAATTGCAGTGGAACTGAGGTAGATATATGATCAATGATGGTGGGCATTAATTATTTGGTTATTTTGCTAAGTGTAGATCTACGGGTCTCACTTAGTACAATTGGTTCAATTAGTTTCAAACCATAATACTAAGTAGTATAAACAGCCCAATTATGAAGTTACTGCTAATACTGTACATGACTTGCATCTTCCAGTGTGTATCACACACATAGTCAGGGACACATAGTCATCACTGTATGATGACGGGCGATGCGGTCAGTGATGTCTCTTGTGTTCTCAGCGTCCTAACATTCCTGTGTAATCCCCAGGGCACGGGTTTATCCAGTTCAGACCAGCTCTCTGAAACGTCCAGAAAATAGGTCGACGAGTTTGAGTGTGATGAGTTTGACACGTGTCTGTAAATCTCCAAGCAGATGTAGGGTCCATTATTTTTTGCGGGCAATCAGAAGTTACCTGAACTGTAGAGACTCCCACTGAACAACAAGGAATTCGAAGTTATTTCCATATAACTTCCTTGCACGGAAGAAGGAAATGATCTCTCAAATTCAACCAAGGACATTCTACAGATGGAAGTTTCTTGATTCAACCATTCACTTGTCTTAGTCATGACGATCGCATGACCGTATTCGGTGTCACTGTATTTACGTACATTTTCCATCATAGAGTCTTTGTCTTGTCGGTTCCAGGAAAGGAAGATTCTGGAAGGTGAAGGAATTCCGTGTGGCCTAATACGCAGCCCTAGTGAGGTCACAGAGCGGTCAGCGTGCTGCCAGACACTGCGGTTGGTAGTAGCTCCCGTGTCGCTTCACGTGTCTGTCACGGTGTAGAGTAGAGTAGACGACCGTCGTTTTCATGCCGTCGTCTTTTGTCTGTTTTCTTGGTACTCCCGATTTTTGGTGGCTCCCGTTTCCAAAACACCAAAGGTAAAGATTAACGTTGGAGCCTATTTGATCTTGGTCAGGACAAGGACATCATGGAAAACCTTCCCTGGCTTGATGCCACCCTTTCCCCCTAACATCCCCACTGAGATATGCAACAATCTACACGTAAGTCTAGCATTCTACTCTGTATCAAGGCAGTATTGCCGTGGGATAGACTCTTGCGTGGAAGAATGAAATCTACGTGTAGTTTTCCGACTGAGAATCATGCCACCAACCAAGCCAGAACCAGAGAACTATGCCACGTACGGCCAGTATACCACATCCATATCGCACGTCCACCACTGCGCGTTATTTGACCTAGTACTATTTCAGCTGCTTGTCGACCATGACCTTTGCTTTTACACGACCTAACACTTGCTAAATTTACCCACATCGCCATGGCACAAGTCCACCGGACCTCCAGGGTCAAAGCCCGTCCACATTCCGCGAGTCCCTGGCGTTGTTCGCCGTCTGGTTTAGGGTGAACTTTCTCCCGGCCGGGCGGGGGAAATCCGGGGGAACCCCTACCGCAGGATGACGAAATCACTGCGGAGCTGGTAATTCTTCAACGTAGCTCATAATCAAAGTTCACACAACTCATGCCAATTCTCAGGCCAAGGGTGCTGTATGTATTGCAAGCACATTACATTGTAAAGGTTCGTATTAGAATATGGTGTGATTTTGTATTCAAGTGCATGTATTAGGAATTTTCTAGAGTCTATTGATTTATAGATTTTGAGTGTGTCGATGTTTTCCTTTGGATTGTGTTTCAACCTATAAGGCACTAAACTCGACAGAAGGTCTTACTGTAAGAGATTTAGAAAGAAACAAAATGGGAACAGTGACTTTTCGTGACCTCGAGGCTGTTTCAGTGTTTGGATTATATGATAAATGTTACACTGGTATTTCATCGTTGAGTGTGAACCGACAGCCCTCCCCACTTTAGCGCAAATTACCGAAATATTCTAGTATCTGTGTCCGCCGGTTTTCAACACCAGCGATTACACAACGGTGTAGATCTGGTGTCTATATATACTCAGCAAATGAAAGCACCCCCTCGGAAGATCAAAGCCAAGCCGCGGTTCATGGCATTGGACCCTCGGCTATCACCCGGTGTCGCCAATTATAGCCCCATTCCTAGACGTCTGGGGATCACCGGGTCATGACCTCTGTGTGGCCTGACAAGAGGTTAATTCCCCACCGCTACTCAAGGAAAGTGACGAACACGGAGGAGGTACATGCTTGGGATTCATGTTGAATTGACCGCTTGAAGGGAACAGAGATGCACGCAAGTAACGTCTGTTCTCTAAAGCGCGCTACTACAAGTGCACGTTCATATAGAAAACCTACACATTTATACATTGTATATGAAGTATTATAAACGAACATACTTCTCGCCTAATCTGCCTTTTATTTACATTTTCCCTGCAAAGCATTTGAAGCCCCATGACTGCGACGTGCAGTTCAGGTCTGGCAGGTTTGGCATGGACATGGTTTCTTTCTGTGTCCTGTCGTGTATTTAGTGGACCAAATGCTAATAGACAATTGAATTCACTGACAATACAGACGCACAGAAAACTAGAACGCCCTAGCAAGGTTTTTATCTGTCTGCTGGCTCATTGCCATATCCAGAGCAGGTGTTTTCCCGCTTGCCTGGGGGAACACCACACCTGTGCAGCTGCAGGGCACACCTGATTACACCCCAGGTGCAGTGAACTGTGCCAAACAGTCTTGTCACATCGTGCTTGGGAACAAACATTGCTGGGTGGGGCGCAAACACGCGTCAGCTCACGGGGCAGGGCGCACCGGTACCTGAGGGTACGTGAGTCATCCTTTGTCCCCGTGAGGACACGGTATGCCAGGCAGCTGTAAACCTGGTTAAATGTAACGTTACAGGCAGTTAATTGCAAGCAAAAGTCGTAGGCTGTGTTTTTTACCCTTCTCTTTGAAGAGGTATTTGTTCTGTTTACACGGTCATACCTTGACACCAAGAGCCACGGTTTGATAATGAATGATGTACTCATAGCGTTGCAATATGTGATATATGGTGTGCTGAGTTTAATGAGGCTCTACTCAAGGTCATTGGTTAAAAGAAACTAGACCAGCACTGCAAACTTGACTTATATTTTGGGAATGACCACTGCCATAGTACTAGTATGTCCTTGCACTGACACACTGCAACAATTTGCATGCACCGGAACAAGCTTTCAAAATTTCTTGGTATAGTCTATAGTCCAAGTTCTAAGACATGGAGAGGAAGTCTTCTCCATACTGAAGGACCGACTGTGAGAATCTGTAGACACATTCTTTCACACAAGGCCGAGTGAAGATTCGTGGAAAGGGGAAGTATCAAGTTCCCTGTTACCAGGAAATTGTTCTGAAGCCAATTTCCTGGTACATGTACCAGTCAGTGCAAAGTTGACTTCACGCCAACATACACTGTTAAAACATTTGCCAAATCGTCTTTGTTTTCAATAACGAGGGACATTGCTGGAAATAACATATAAACCTAAAAAAAACTACAAACTGAATAATAGATCTACTCCACAATTCGTAAGTCATTTGTACCTTTCTGTAATATGGGAATGAATTATTTTGACTTCTCACAGCCTGTACGTCCCGGTGATACCTTTCCAATACGTTTTACTAAATCTTCAAGGATCCGGCTTAGTCTCAGATTTTTTAAAATGCGTACGTTGTCAGCATTTTATCTTGCTGGTACCGGTAGTAGCCGGGTCCTAGTCCTTAACATCTGCTTGGAGATAACGATACTCATCCAACGACTGATTCCTGAATGACAACAACGTTAGATGTACTACTCTTACATATCTGTTTCTTTTGGTGCATCAAAATGTGTTATGCAGTAGTATATACTGAATTGGTGGTGAGCGGTGGTCGACATTTTCTCACACTTTTCAATGCCTGAGATCATTTTCAGCTTGGGTGGCCAGGTCAAACATAGCCAAGTGATATATTGATGATATAAACTAATGTTGTGATTGTGTCAATTACAGAACAACCAACAGACATGTTTGCGTTCCACTTGTAAACATCTCCGTGGCGAGATGAGCTGATGAGGTGGAGGAAATGGAGAATCGCACACACTGACGTGTACCGTTGGAATTTTCCCATCATTTGAGGAATCTCCAAGCAGATGTAAGGTGGCAATAGCTCCCCTAAAAAGCTAAAAACGCAGACAGATAGAAATACAGAATCCCCAAAACATTGAGGCGGATCCTTCTTGTGCTTGGGGATTAGTACACGTTCTGGAGTGACACGGTTGGGACTTGGTCAGTCTATCTGGAATCTAGTTGTCACCAACAGTATGCAAAAGCAAAAGATCATTTAGGAAACCGCAAACAAATTTCAGACTTCGTAACAATGTAGACCTGATATACACATATTTTTCGACCGGACTACCATGATCAGGCAGAATAAAGACCTAATTGCAAATTCTCTATACCAAATAATCCGCCTTCAAAGTGCTACATCTAAACTTTTGATCAAGAGGTATAAATTACGGTATTGCGTTAGATGGGTTCCCTCTCCTATGCAGGGATACGTGGAAAAGACGGCAATTTCCACGTCAAATCACTAGCTTGTACGTATGTCCCCCCAATCTCATTTGACCCAATAACCCAATCATAATCACATAAGACCCGAACACAATCATATATGACCCAACCTCATTTGTGTCTGACCCAATCATAATCCTGTTAGACCGAACCAGCATGCCCATTTCCCCTGTACATTACCGGCACATCAGCCCAGAATACGCCGCGACATTCCCGGAAAATGACTCCCTAATAGCTACTTCCAGGAATTGCGCAACGCGACCCATCTTCCTGACCTCCGGGTCAACCTGATGTAACATCACCATATCGCTACACCACATTTAGCCTGGTATTTTTAGTCGCCTTCATTGATTTATGTTGATCGTATGGCTCCATGCGTCACAGAGTTAATAGACCTTGGAAAAATTCCAAGGAAATATTTCGTGGTATCCATTCCAGGACAGCCGCGTTCCCCCATTTAGAACTCATGCCTTCAGAAATACAAATAGTATAGAATGTCACACAGGGGTCACTTGGTGTAACGCAGTTGTAATGAGCGCTGTCACACATGTGTAACTGCAGTAACTGTAATACCTTTAGGGCCCTTAGTTTGAGTCTAAATATCACTGAGGAGGCAAAAGAGAGAACTTCCTTTATAATTTTGACTTTTTGACTATATTATGTCTCATAGCCGAGTCATAGCAAACCATATGAAACTACCTCGCAAGCTACAATTGGTCTGATTTCGGTAACGGCGACTTCCTATGTAAGTTTGTATTCAACGTCGCGTTAAACTTAAATACATGTAACGTTACGTTATATAACTTATACGGTGCGTCCAATTTCAAGGCAGTGGTTTGACATTTTTAGCGAGCATTCCCGGTGTGTCCTATGTTGATAACGCCTCAAAATCAAAGTTATCACACGTAGTTTTCCTTCACGCGACAAGAATAGTTTTAGCGCAGGTAATAGACAGGCGGTCTGTATGAGAGATTCCATGACGTCTGCTGAAGTCCAAGGACGCTGCAAAGTCAAGGGCGGTTTCGGGTCATGGCAGAGATCCAAGTTGAAAACAGGTGCACGACATGTGGCTGTAGGTTCAGACGAGGACGTAACTTCTATCTTTGGTCACTAGATACTGACAGCACATTCCCTCAGTCTTGCGCAAAAAATCCTTTTTCGTGCCAACTTTTCCTGCAGTCGAAAACCCCGGAATATCATGTGAATGGCAAGCTCAGGTCGAAGGAAGAGAAATGGATGAAGACAAAATGAATCTGAATTTCAATAGTTTTATTTTCTTTTGTGTGTGATTGTTTTTCTGTGCCATTATTTCTTTAAATCAATAAAAAGCAGTTCGGAACCTGCAGACAAGTGAAAGTGAAAGCAAAGGGCTATTCAGGTGCAGGCGCTCCATCATCATCGTCCAAAATGGCGGCCAGTGTCCGCCAAGTTACGAGTCGCCTGCCCGTTGTGGTAATCCTAGGAGCTACCGGCGCCGGAAAATCCAAACTAGCCATAGATATCGGAACCCGAATGAACGGAGAAATCATCAGTGCGGATTCCATGCAGGTATGAGGTCCGTTAGTGGAGAAGATGGCATTATGATGTATGATGTGGTGCACGGGAAGGGGGAGGGGGGCGTGCACGTGCTCCATAAAATTTCACAGTCTAGATGATGCCTTTGTTCTCGGCACCGAAAGAGGGCATGAACTTGGAGTTCTCGTGTCACTTGTGCCTAGAAATAAGATTTTTTTGGCAAAGATCCTGTCTTGGCTTGCAAATTATGTAAGCTGTAGTATAGGAACTGTTATATAAACGTGGTCTTTATATAGCGAGTCGTGACGACTGTTGGGCTTCTTTGCACGATGTCTTACCATAAATTGTCCTACTAGACATGGGGCTACTGTAAGCCTGCATACAATAAAAAATCCTTCAACAGTCACAGCTACCCACAGCATGCCTGTATTTATAATGCAGTCCTTCAGGCTCTCATCCCCCAAAGTGCTATAGACAAAGCATTGACTAGTCTAGTACTAGTAGCTATAGTATACTGAGGAATAGAGACAAGGCATTCTTTGGGTTATACCCAAAGGTACAGACTCAAAATTAGTTTTATTTTAAATGCTTACAACAAGATGCACTTTTGTTTAAAACATCATCTACATGTAAACATGCAACAATCAAGTAACATAACATTTGTTCAAGGTCAATATGGTTTAAAATCATCATCATATAGTATTTATTTATGTTCTGTGAAGTTGACAGTCTTAAGAGTTATGGTTCCTAAAGGACTTTAGATCAGTGATGTAGGCTTCAGGAGAAGTTTGCAGTAGGGAAGGAACAATAAGTTCAAGTGCAGAGGCAATGTTGTAATCCCTAAGCAGATGTTGGGATGTTGGGATAGAAAATCCAAGGACGTTCTACAAGAGGCCTTCTGACAGAGCATCTTTGGAAAATTATACCCTATACCCTTTTCTGATCAGCTGTTTTCTTTTGACAGTACTTCACCCCAAATTCATTGGAAATGTGAACAGAACACAGCTATGTGACAAAACATCAGGTGACAAAACAGCATTGCCATTGCTGCAGAGTAAATAGTGGCTTTACTTGGTCAACCAACTTCCACATACACCAAAATACTGTACTGCAATCTAGAGGATTTGTTGAGGGGACCATAAAATTTATATTGTAATTACTCAGAGGAATTATCTATTAAATCCATAATGAGTGTGATGACTCCTTGTCAAATCATCTCATCATGACAGCTTCAGCATTAACAACCTGAAACACACCTGATAGCACCCCTCATTTGTTATCCATTGTTAATTGTCTAACTTCAACCTGATGATACATTTCATGAGACTATTTCTATGTGTGAGGAGAAAACTTATAAGAAGTCTCATCTGACTCACACAGACTGGGAAAAAATGATAATAATAATAATGTTAGATCTATCACAAATTAATTTTGTAAGGTTGAAATACATAAAAGAAACTTTTAAACACATTCATTTGATGTTTTTAAAGCATGTGCAGAAAACAATAGCTGTAGTGTGTACTGTGTTAGAATAGATGTTATTCCAGTTTTATTTCCATTATGTATGTCATTATCAATATCAATCTTGTGTCTTAGCTGAGAATAGCATCATTACTAGTACTAGTATATCAAAAGATTTTTAGACCTCCTTGGTTAAATATATACAGTTTGTTTTCATACAGTTGGCCCTCGGGTATGGATTTACACCAAAATGATTCAAGTCATCATTAAAACATTACCGGCCACATCCTCTCTCTCAGCTAAACAAAAACATTTCATTACTAGCTTGTCTCCAGCTGATCTCATCAGACAATGGGGATTTTCTTTGTAATTGTTTTCTTTGTACCTGTTAGGTCGCTATTCACACAATGATAACTGTAGGGGGATCAGCTTTTCTGAAATCTGCAATGCTGACACGGGTTAATCCCCTTCAGGAAACAGGATTAACCCTTAGGTAATCACCGGTGCCCATTAGGGAATCGTTAACCCATTCTTATCTAATTGCATAAGATAAACCATACTTACAAGTATTTGAGGCTGGGGGTAGGAGAGGGTGGATCAGGGTCAGTGATGTTATCTGTTCTTTGAAATATTATTTTCAACCCTTGGAAATGTATCAATGAAGGCTTCCAAGAAATTAAGATGAACTTTTTATGAGTGGGAAATGTATGTGACCTGGAGGCATCTAATGCATTTTCTGGGTGGCAAACTGGCTTTTCAAAGTCAATGTTCTAGTCATTCTTTTAATGTACGTAGTAAGTTGACTCAACCCTACCCCATAATGGAAAACGGTTGCTTGTTTTGTGTCATGGGTTGGCATCTACCTATTTTTGGTGGTACCCCAAAAATAAAGAGATGCCCCAAGTTGCTTGTTTTGGGGCTATTTCAAATGCTTCACTTATGAAATGATGACAAAAATATGCGAAGTACATCAGAGACAGATTTCCTAATCCTAATTCTTAATTTGTTTTCGTTTTGCCACCCTGAAATTGCATTGGATTAGCCTGGTTAAACTTTGGCCAGTCCCTTAGACGGGCCTGTCCTAGGTACAGACAGCAGTGTTTTGTGTTTACAGACAGGTGAAGGACAGGACGATCAAAGGTTACTCCTGGGAATGTTTGTGATGGAAAAAAGTAGGTGATAAAGTCTTATTTTCTGAAAACTATTATTGGACAATAAACAATAGATAAGAGATGAGGTGTGCTATCAGGTGTGAGTAAGTGGTGTTAATACTGGAGCCATCATGATGGGAGGATAAAATAGGGATTCATCACTCATTAAGAAGTCGTTAGGTAATTACACTCTGGCACCCTGGCTAATTACACTGTCTGTGGTTATGGAAAAAAAATAGACTACCTTGTATAAAGTGTATGGTACCAAAGGCAGTATTTGTATTGTGTTCTATGACTACTGTCTTTAGATGAAGCTGAAAAAAAATTAGGAACAAATGGCGTTCTTATTTGCTATAACTTCTAAATTTCAGACAACTTTCATTTGCAAAAGTGGATGTAACAGAAAAAAGGATGTCCAGCCCCAGTACCTGAGCTTTGATAGCATGGTTATACCAAAAAGTGGGCATGACAAGTTTGGATGAACCTTGATAGTGTGACCCCTAGATGTTGATGTATAGACCGATATACAGATGGATAAACTGCCCCTGCCTTAAATTGTCATAGCTATGGAATCCTGAAAATCTTCCCTCTGCTACACAAACATGTAACTAACACAAACATGTTACCAATACAGATATGTTGTGACTGATAGAGAATCATTCATTGATTGAATATGTGACCAATCATGAGTCAGGTAGCTGGCACCAGTGCGTGCTGAGTCAGCACATACTCATCCATTGTTTTGTTTCAGTACAGGTCCTTTTAAAGTTTTATAGATAAATTCCGTACACAATTGAGGAATCATGTAGAATGTGTATCACTTCAACAGTTAATAAATTTTTAATAATGCATGATATGCGTCATATAGAATTATCAAATAGAGGATGACTAATGTAATGATATTGATTTGTGCTAATTATGGGACTTGTGATTATTGGTATATCTAAGAATATTGATGTTGATAAGTTTTAGGCATGATTAATACATGTATATACAAGTAGTCTATCCAAAGTGTATTTTCTAACTGTACATGTACATGACCATTTTTGGGCATCACAGTTCATGTTTGTTTTCACATGTCTTCTGGTACATATTTGAAAGCTCTAAGGACTCTTCAAGGAAAAATGGTGATGAAAGGAAAAGATGGGTGCAGTGGGATACTTCTTCCATTGTTACTGTAAGAACTTAGACAAGTAAGAATTGTTTTTACAAGCAGAGTTTTAATGCCTGGGGCCTTCTCCTAAGAACAGGAATATCTCTGATATACATGTATGAGTTTTATGTTTTGCAGGTATAATTTGTCTACCGCAGGCAAATTTTTACCTCTCTTGTAATTTGTAAGTTAAATGTTGAAAGTTTTCTTCACTGCCAAATCATCACTCCATGAACGATACAAATTGTCCATCAGTAGAAACTGTGCTCAGTATGCGCAGTGTGAATTTGAACATTTCTATTCTAATACCTCTACTTATCCCCTACCTCTCGAACTGATGACTTGAAATTTGACATGAATTTGCAGTAGACCAACACAGCAAGTATTCAGAGAAGGTATCCAAAATGTTGACTAGACTTTATGAATGCATACTTGGAGTATGTAGGGTAAGTATTGTGCATAGAAGTTAGGTCACTCAAGTTGACCTTTGACCCTCCCACCTGTTACAGTTATGTCACTATTTATTTTAGTATGGGTGCAGTATGTTACTTGTGGACATCAGAAACCAACTGCTGCCACTGGACATTGGATTAACAACATTGGACTGAAAGTAATAGATAAATGGACATACATGTATTTTATAAACTTATTAGAACTTGAGTAGAATAAAGCAGTCGTCATCAACCAAGGGGAAGCAAAATGCTTTTTAATCCAGTTTATAGTAGTACTGTGTAGGTTAGGTACAAATTACAATGCATTGGTAACAGCTCAAGTTTGTTCATCTTCAAAGAATACACCTCAATTATCCATAAGAGAAGGGGTCCATCCTGGACTGTGAGTGGATCAAACCTTAACCAATCAGGTAAC